TTATTTTTCTGAAAATATCTGTATGATCCTGGAAGCCCCTAGTCATCACAGGAAAGGTTGGACAACTTGGGAGTTTGTCTTTATAAAAGAAGAAAGTCATCCTTTAGTTGGACAACTCTTCTAAGTCTTTTGACATATAATAACTAGTCTACTAGTATGGGTATAAATGTTTCCATCTAACTTTAGAAAAATTATAAAGACTATATAAAGGGCTTAATTAGATTAGCCACTGATGGCATCTGCTGGCAGGTGGAATGCAATTCATTCCAACCCACCCAAAGGGAAGAAAAATGAGCAGAGCTGCCACCCCAAGCCTCCTGGTGAAACTCCTTTTCTTCCTTTAGGGAAATGTAGACATGTCAGTGAAGGACAGAGAGCAGGTATCATTCCATATATTCAACATGACTGCGCCTAAATCATTTTCTCATTTTTCTCTTCAGTTTTGTTAAAGACTGAGGATATGTGAAAAGTGAAATGCTAATAATGTTTTCTAACCTATTGTAGATCATTTAGGGAACACCCTTTGGAGACCTCAGCTCTAGGCCCAGGATTGTTAGCTCAGGATTTAATGCTTATAGGTGATTTGCTTTCAAGTGTTGAAAAAACCGACTGAAGCTCTAATCAGATGTCCAAAAACCATGAAGAATCACTTTTCTAGGTGATGGACCAAGAGTGAAAAATTTTAAGGAGAATGTTAAGGTTTTGATCTTGAATGTCCCCAAAGGCCCATATGCTGAAAGTGTGGTCACTAGCCTGTGACACTATTGGGAGTTGTGGAATCTTGGGAGGCTTTATGGGAGGCAGTTTGGTCATTGCTAGGTGGGGAGGGAGGGTGTGCATTTGAAGAAGATACTGGGGTTCTAGACCCTTCCCATCTCTCTCATTGCTTTTCAGCCACCATGAGCTGAGCAAGTTTTCTTTGCCATATGCTTCTGTCACATGTGCTGCCACAATCTCATAAGCAGTGGAGTCAAGTGACCCAGGACTGAAATCTCTCAAACTGTGAGACAAAATAAATAATTCCTTCTTATAAGTTTTTTTTTTTTTTAAATGCCAGGCATTTTGTCATAGTGACGGAGAACTAACACAGAGAACGTGAAAAGTTTAAAATTCAGAATGCTGCTTGGGCAGCAGCATAGAGATGACTGGCACATAGTAATCCTGGCACAAGGAGAGAGGCACAGGGCCAGCTCTCTCAGCAAGGCAGAGGGGACTGTGTGTGTAGAGGTGGGGGTGCAGCCAAGGCAGTGAGAGTTGGGAGAGGCACAAAAATCAGAATGTGCCACGGCAAAAGGGTGCAGATTCATTAAGCCCAGTGTGGGTTTATAAGACAGTTTAGAAAGAAAATGTGTCATTGAGAAGGAATTAGAATTCAGATCTAAAGGCAGTTTAGGTCCTCTGACTTAAAAACAAACAATACAACCTTTTCCTTTTCTCTCCTCCTATCCTCTCTCTCTCTCTCTCTCTCTCTCTCTCTCTCTCTCTCTCTCTCTCTCTTTCTCCTGCAGATTAAAACTGGAAGAGAAAGGTAAAATTCATAGATTATATTTTAATATTTTTAAAAATTTAGCAATATCAAAGAAGGATGTTTGGAAAGAGGGGTTTCAGAATGATATTGGAACCCCAAATAAATTTGTGGTTAATAGACATTTTCTAGATTGGGAATATAATTGCTTTGAATTTCAAGCTGTGTCTTGTTTAAGCAAAGGGAGGTGATTTAAAAATTTTTTGTTTCATTGTTGATGGACTTTTATTTTGTTAATTTATTTATAAGAAGTGCTGAGAATTGAACCTAGTGCCTCACACATGCAATGCAAGTGCTCTACCACTGAGCCACAACCCCAGCCCAGGGAGGTGTTTTTAAGATCTCCCCCCTGTTTTCTTTTTGATTTATAATTTTTTTCTATTATGATCTGTCCAGCTCTGGTTTTGTCTAGGTTGCACAATAGCTCCTGGTCAGTCTTTCATCTCTCTCTAAATCAGAAAGTGACAGGCCTCACCTAGCCCGTCACATTCACTTTCCTATTTAAATATTTCCTTGGTCATTGCTCTGAATGTCTAATAGCCCAACTTGCTGTCCCAGTGGATTCTCAAGCCTGTGGTTATAGTTTTCCTGGGGTTCAGATAAGGAGATGAGTGCGGTGCAGGAGCCGTGGGTGTCACTCTCAGAGAAGCTGCAGTTCCATTTTAACAAGGGTCTCTTTCAGACCTTGCTTGGCCTCCTGTTTCCCGAGGCCTAGACTTGCTAACCTTTCCAGAAACAACACTGAGCACGCTGGCCTTCCCCTGCTGTTGTGGAGGCTAGTGTTATTCCTGTGGCCCGGCCAGGGCACCATCCCGAGAAACACGGAGCCAGTGTGCTGTGGGAGTTGGACCTGGTGTTGAAGTTGGCTGTTTGCTCTGCAGCCACAGTGGTTCCCACTGGAGATAGGCCAGGATTGGAGGGTGGGCAGGGAGGCGGCAGGGAGGCGGCTGGGACCACATCCATCTTTCTGAGTGGCAGGTGTCCACAGGACACCGTGGATTGTTCCCTGGGAGATTATCTTGACTTCTACAATTTCTTTTGGCTATTAGTGGCATGAAGCCTCATGCTGCAATTATTTCCAACCTGGCTGGGTTAATTCTCCTGGCACATGGGAGGTAGTTTTTGGGAAATGTGGAGATGTGTGACCTTCATTCAATCACTGCTTCTTGGGAAATGGAGGGAAAGAGTTTTTAGCTGTATTATGAATCTAGTCCCAATGTGTGTAGTGACTGTTGGTGCTTATTTATTTAGTATATAATTCAATTTTTCATTTGAAAAACAATTGTAGAGGTCTACGAGTACAGCTTCTCTGTCTCTGTCTTCTCTGTCCCCTCCCTCTCTTTTAAAATTTGAGGTATAGACTTGAGAGATTCTCCATGTCATTCTGGCTGATTCTGGAGAAAGACCCTACAATTGCAGTGTGGGGTTAGAGCAGGACCTGCAGCTTCCTCTCAGCGATGTATTGTGTGACTTGAGAAAATTTCTTCTCTTCTTTTTTAAATCCCTGTTTTCTCAACTGTCAATGACATCTGTTTTATGGAAGGGTGGGATTCCTTCATCATCAAAAAATTGAAAATGACTAGTAATGCACTAGAATAGCTCCTGTCACATTGAATGAGCTTGCTACATGAGAATTATTATTTTCCTTTATAAATTGTCACCTGTGTGGCAGGCAGGGACTTTGGAGAGAGTGAATCAAGGTTTCTCGCAAGGAGTATGTGTGTGAGTCTTATGACTTGAGTAAGAAACATGACCAGCTTAGTCAACGAGTATTTATAAAAGTATTCACTGACGACATGCTGCAGTGGTATTAGACATCATCATACAGAAAGCAAGCAAGCAAACAAAAACAGAAAACAAGACAAAACAGAAAACAAACAAACAAAAAAACCCCTCTGTAGTCATTAAAAACTTGTAATCATATGTGACAAGACATGGTAACAAAAACATATAAAAAAATCTAACTTTTTAAAATTCAGGCTGTTCTGTAGTTCTTGAGACCTTCTTATTCTTTTTTAGTATTAAAAAAGAAAGCGTCCTGCCATTATCCCTGGATGTCTCTGCCTTTCAGCCATCTATCTGAGGCCTATAATTCAGCTCTGGCTTTTGAAGTAATGTATTTGCTTTGGGTTTGGGGGGCATTGACACTCTCATTTGTGATAAATTCATGTAGGAAGCACATCCAGTAATCAAGGCCCCTTTGCCTGTGTGGGTACCTTGTTGTTCTAGAGGGATTTTTGAGTTCCCTCAGTTTTGCTCATTGTTCCCAAGGGGTCACTTTTTCTGTTATCTCCTGGCATCTCTGCTCTGCTCTCTACTCTGAAGTCTCTCTGCCCTCATCCCACTGCCCTTCACGACTCTCTTCCCTTGAATCCTTTCCAAACAGGTGCCATCTGGCTTTTCTCCTAATGGCTGTGCTCCTAACCCCCCTGTCTTGGAGACTCCCGGCTTCTGAACACTGATGTGCTGCCTTTATTTAGCCCTGACTGCCTGTACATTTCCAAGCTCGATTCTTGGTGCTCAGCGGCATTTATTCTGCTTCCTCCCGGGAAGCCTGTGAGGATGGGGGTCCCAGCCTGCTGTACATGTAGTGTTTCATGTTACTGTGCATAAAATAGTGGGGAGAGGGTGTCTCTGGGAAAGATCTCTGTATACTTCTGCTTCCTGTGGCTTTTTAGTTTGGCAATTCTCATATTAGTCTGATATCTTACTATTAACTACAACTTATTAGGCAAAGATTCTGAATTGTATCTTGTAGGAATGAGCACAAGTTTAGACTGGTAGATGAGTCATTGACTTTAAGGAATTTAAAAGTGGTGGTTTACTAAGAAAATGACAGAGAGAGAGAGAGAGAGAGAGAGAGAGAGAGAGAGAGAGAAACACACACTGAGGGATTGAGAGTTAAGAAGTCTTGTGGCAGAAAGAAACAACTAAGTGAGGCATTTCAAGTCCCCATGCAACTCACCAATAACCTTCTCCAGAGGGTTATAGAGGCTTCCAAGGGAGAATGAAGAGAAATGGGGCCACAAGTTCTTCTCCCCCTCTCAGCTCACCTCAACCTATTGCAGTGGTAATGCTTGCCATCACTAAGCTCATTGATTATTGAGCCTCACTTATGGAGCTCCTTACTATGTCCAACATAATGCTATTAAAACAAAAAAACCAAATCACTATTTCATTTAATCATCACAAACCACCTTTGAGGATTTATTTTTATAATTTTACACAAGGGAACACACAAACCCAAGGCCACACATTTAGTGAAGGGTAGAGTCAGCCTGTGCACCGGGGTGTGTCCAATCTGAAACCATGCTAAGGCTTGTCCTCATTTACTTACCTGTTCATTTTGACTTTTGATCTTGATCTCCACCACCCACTCAACCCCAGAAGAAGGAAGACCTCATATTTCTTAGTAGTGAGAATTTGCCTTTTCCCCTTAGCAAAGGACTTAGCATGTTGGGTAGGTTCTTCATACCTTTTTTTTGTTGAATGAATGAACCAGTCCAGCCGGTTGCTCTGTGATGGAGCATGGAACCCAGAGCAACACAGTGTCTGGAAGAGCGGCCACAGCGAGGCAGTAGGAAGGAGGCGCAGGTTCTTGTTCTTCCTCTCCTCTAACCATGTGGTCTTGGGCAAGTCACTTAAATTCTGTGGGCCTCAGGGTGCTGCTTATAAGACCTGAAGGGCTATAAGGAACAATGTGATCTCTCTGAAGCCTGATTCTTGTAAGCATGGGGGAAAAGCCACAAGATCCCCTTGGACATGTGTGTCACAGCAAAAGAGCAGGGCTTCTTTGTCTGGCACTCAGGAACTTCTCTTTCTCTCTCTATCTCAGAAACCTTTCTTTGTGATTCACAGTAAACTGTTTCATTTTCCTGTGCCATTTCTCCCATTTGCTAGGGAAATACATCCACACCTGTATCCTTTCTGTGTTTACTATTTCCTGGAGTCTCAAAATTGCTTAGAAGACAAAAATGTAGTAATAATATAGTGAAGCTTAATGACCCTAAAAATCTCACCATGAATATTGTCTAATGAAAACCTTGCTATCACATCTTCCTCACCCAAGGAAATGCTAAACTGTGATAGCATTTTATGCTCTGAGTATCTACAGATTTTTTTTTTTTTTAATTTGGTACCAGGGATTGAACCCAAGGGTGCTTAACTATTGAGCCACATTCCCAGCACTTTTATATATTTTTAAATTTTGAGACAGGGTCTCATTAAATTGCTTAGGGCCTCACTAAATTCCTGAGGCTGAACCTGTGAGCCTCCTGCCTCAGCTTCCTGAGCTGCTGGGATTATAAGAGTGTGCCACCACACCCTGTTCTAGATATTTTAATATCACATCAACATTAGTGCTTACAGCAGTTGAATGAAGGTGTCAAGAAGATCACAAATTATTTGGACATAGGCTGATAGGCTGCACAATTGCCCCAAGTCTACATGACAGTCACTGACAATTCCTAAATTGAAATAATCTCCAATCATGAAATTATACTTGTTTCCTAGAGTCAATTCTTTTAGCAAGAGACTGTACTTCAGAAAGAGAGAAGATAGGGAAAGTGAGAAACATTAACAACACATAATCATCTATAGAGGGCCGACAGTAAACAATTTGAAGAGTTGAACTTGATGACCTTGACTTTCTCATGCTTTCTTCCTGGGATTGTAGTGACCAGAATATACCATTCCAGATACAAAAATCTCCTTAGGGAGAGACATGAAACCCTTAATTTTTTTTTTTAATTTGTGAGACATGGAACCTTTAACATGAATGACCAGGGGAAATGTTTATCACTGACATCTTTTGGGGGCAGGAGAAAGAGAGACTATGTGCCCACTGCCTCCGTCCGTTCTTGTTATTTAGAGTACATCAAGAGGGAGACATGAGCAGGTTTACAAGCAGGGAAACAGGCAGAGAGCCCTTGAGTTACCAACATAAAGCCCCACAGATAGAAGAAATGAAGCTCAGGGTCCTTTGGGCTTCCCTTTAATTACTCATCTACTTTATCACACCCTGACATTATTCCCTGTTTCTTAGATTTGCAAGATTAAGATAGGGAAGAACTGATAAAACTCTCCCCATAATTAACATAGTTATTAATTAATTTGAGCCCTCACTTAATTTGCTGATGAAAGAGGGCAGGAACAAGATGCGGTATCATGGAGGGTAGGGATCAGGGGACTTAGCAGTAGGATCTTTCCTTCTCTCAAAGGCAGATGAAGCCTGTTTCCTTTCAGAGATTTCTACTGTTGAAAGGCTCATGATAGGTATTACTCTCAAGTGAAGTGCCTACTTTAGAGATCTCTGCAGTTTATTCTTTCTCCTTGGCTAGCTTGACTGTGTTCAGAGGTTCCTCAGTGTAATCAGGCCTGCGTTGTTTCTGCTCAATGTGAGCTTACTTTGTCTCTTGCTCCTGTTTGAACTGATAACCTCACCCACCACTAGTTAAGTCTAACAAAGGTCGTTGGATAAAGGCACCTGCTAGAACACCCTCTTTTGGCCTCATTGCCTTCCCGATCCCTTGTGCAGGGGATTGGTTATCTTGGTCTCTCCCACAATTGGTTTGGAAGCCTTCTCAGCTGCCCAAGTCACTCAGCTCTCAAGGGTAACTTCTGTCATCAACCAAATATTGGAACAGGTGGAACCTGCCACTAGTAATGTGACCCACAGTGGAAAGACAGTGACTCAGTCCTGGCAGCTCAAGTCAGGTTTGAGAGAGGCGACCGTGGGAATCCAAATGCCTCCAGTGGTTTTTGTAGCAAAAGCCTTCATTCCTGAAAAAGGTACAGTTCCAGTGTCATGAATGTGACTGGCTCAGTGCAAACAGACACTCACACACAAAGCCACTTGCTTCCCATTGGTTGCTGGAGAACGTGGTCTCCCACCACCCATGAAAAGAGTTCCAGAAATGCAGGGCAGAGCTAAGATGGAGAGTTTGCTCCAAGGCTCAGACTTGCAACTGAGGGTCTGAGCAGCAGTTTCAAATGAAGCCCATGAGGAAAGAAGTTCATAAAGAAGTTTATAAAACATGCATGTGTCTCTCCTTTTCTTATACAACTTCATTTTGCTGATCTGTTAGCAGTAACTTACAAGCCATTCATTGGATATCAAAAAACCTGTACACATAGTTCTCTCAGCTTTGCTTCTCTTTCTCCCAACATCAGAGCTGCTCTTGGGTCAGGTTGACCCAACCTCAAAATATCTTGAAGTTTACCCAGGTAGCCAGTTCTTCCTGCTCAGCTCAGCCATCCATTGTGACTTTTTTAATGTATGTAAAGGAAGAATAATCTAATAGGAAGGTACTCCACTATATTCAGAGGAGACATGAGTTTTAAGCCAAGTTTCATAAATTAACAGTTATGTGACTTTATCTCCTTTATGAAAGTTACACTGTCTTCTAATACATCCGGTTTTAACTCAGTGTAATAAAGATAAGATGCAAGTCTCTGTCTATGCATGGGACTGCCATGAAACAACTGCATGCAAAGCCCCAAGAACTCCTTGGAGGTAAATTCAGCAAATTGATGTTATTCTTATGATGATGTAAGTGCATGAACATGCTCAGCGAGGCTTAGCTAGGTAAACTTGGGGAAGCAAAAGAGAGGTGCTTTTGTGCTAAAGAGTCAGCAGCCAGCAATTTCCTTTCCCCTTTATGTTCAGGGGGTGTGTGTGTGTGTGTGTGTGTGTGTGTGTGTGTGTGTGTATCGTCAACATTTTAAATTTCCTGATTCTTTCCTATGAAGGTTTTGCTAAAACCTGTAAGTTTAGACTATCAAGTGAAAAACCATATCCTCTTGTTATTGATGTTTTAAAATATTTAAGTATTTTGACCTAAATACTAAAGAACAAAGTCAATTGTTTAACAAAAAAGGCAGAATGTAAATATTTAGCTTAGGTATTCGGAGCATCTATTTTCACAGTCACAAAACTTCCTCGCAAATGTTTGAGAACAAGTTATAATACAGCTCTTTGAAAAGCGTGGGAAATTAAGGATGAAATAAAAACCTGACCATAAACTTCCTTCCTCAATTTTGAATGAGATCTCAATGAGATTCTTTTGTATTGGACTTGGACTTTATTAGCTTTTTCGGTGACTTCATAATATTTATTTTTGGAACATATTAATTTCATTTTAATAAGACATGACTGTTAAGTGAAATGCTGAAATACAATTCTTGGAAAATAAAAAAAAATATGCTTTTCATTTTATCTCTTTCGAGTTCCTTTATTTCCAAGAATTGCAGGTCAATTTAAGCTTCACAACGTTGCTTACAAGTCATTCACTTCTTGTTTGAGCTTTTGATCATTTATTCTTTCATTCATTTCAAAGTGAATTTGCCCATTCACTTATTTATACATTAATCATCAAATATTCAAAGACCTAATAATATGTGCCAATCACTATTCTAGGTGCAATTTTATTTTGTAAAGGTATGAGTTTTCACTTAGGCATATTTCTTTTATATTTGGCAAAACAATTTGTTTTAAAGCACACTAGGAAGAGATTGATGTGGCTTAGTATGGTAGTTAGTGGCTGTCTACACTTGGGACTGCCACCATGTAGTTGAACAGGTCAGGGGCAACAACGATAATCACTCACACCAATAGGCCCCGCTGTGTGCAAGGCAGTGTTGCAAGTACTTCCCATCCTTAAACTTGCTTAATTATCACAATAATTATTCATGTTTTCATTTTAGGAAGGAGGAAACTGAATCAGAGTGTCTTACTTTAAATGGTATTGTAAAAGTTACAATATTAAAGATCCCAGAGCCAGAAAAACAGTATCACAAATCTCAAAGTGTTTTCTTGTAAAGATTAAAATAGAAAAGTCATGTAGTAAAGTGTTTATATTTTAATACCCATTAGGAAAAAAGTAAACCATAGAGCAATTGGTCTGCAGTTGCACCAAGTGACTTATTGAAAATGTGGTATGCCACTTACTAGCTGTATAAATTTAGGAAAGTTGTTTCACTTCTTTCTGTCTTAGTTTCCTCATCTATAAACTGAGGAGAGTCATTATGAATATTAAATAAAATTATACATATAAATAAGAAGAATGTGTCTGGTACATTATAAACATTCAATAAGTATTAACTCATTATTATGTTACTGACACTGCATGAGAGAGGAGAAGACTGGGAAATTAAGACAAGTTAAATTAAGATGAAACCTTTGCTAATTAGGAGGTCAGCAACTTGAACCTTATGCAACTAAAGTACTGTATTTACTAAACTGATAGCTATATTACAATTCATGATACAAATTATTATAGTACCCCAATTATATAATGCCAAGAAGCACTTTTTCATAGAAGAATAGAACAGGCTGAAGAATAGCTGATTCTTTGCAAGTCAATTTGCATTTATTGAGTATCTTCTGTGTATCTAGCACAGTGCCCAGTATTTCGCGGGATAAGGAGGTAGTCCACAGAAGGAAACCCAAGTTCTTTTAGCCATGAGCATACATTCTTATGGGTAAGGTGAATCCTACCCAGAAGCAAGATTATACAGCAAAACAAGACAGGATGCCCTAAAACCAAAAGAGCCAAGCAATGTGCCTGGAGTGTTTAGGAAAGTTCCATGTGGAAGACATGACCCCTTTGAGCTACAAAGTGAGATACACAGTAGAGGAGGTGAATAAACCTAGCCACTAAGAGCTGAGGCAGATTAGCAGACAGGC